CATACATCCATGCATCCAAGCATCCATGCATCCATACATCTATGTATTCATATATCCACGCATCCATATATTCAATCATCCATACATCCATGTATGCATATATCCATCCTTCTCATCATTCATTTAATAAACATTTGGTGATCATCTTTCTGTGTAAAACCCTGTGCTAGGTGCCAGAGCTATGGCTGGATCTTGAAGGATGAGAAGATAGGAGGATGGAACAGGGTGGGGCAGGACCGATGAGGCAGGGGGATTGGGATGTGCACAGGCGCAGAAGCACACAGGGGCGTGGAAAGGCACAATCAGGCTAATTCACGGAGAGCTTTGTGTGCTGCAGAAAGGTGTTTGGAGTTTTGGACTTTTTGGTTGTAAAGCAGAAGCCATTGTGGACTTTAAAGCAAAGAAATAAACCAGTTTTATTTTGGAGCTATTCTGCTGATAGACTGAATCTGAGGCAGAGAGAGCAATCCAGAGGCTCTTGGACCAGGCGCAAAGCAAGACGAACAGTGAGCATGAGGGGTGGGGATAGATTCGAGAGCCAGCTAGGAGTTGGAGTCGGCAGGACTCAGGGCCTGAAGGACCCTGGGGGTGAAAAAGAGACCGAAAGGATCCCTCCCAAGTTCCTGGCTTATGTGGCTGGTTGAATGGGTGCTGGTACCATGGACTGAACTAGACTACACCGGGAAGGCCACAAGCTTCGGCAGAGAAGGTGCGAGTTTGGTTTTGGACAGCCTGAGCTAGCTGAAGAAGGTGCTAGCCAAGAGCGTGAAGTTTAAGGAAGCAGGAATAGGCAAAGGAGCATTTCTGGAAGTCAAGAGAGGATCAGTACCATAGCGAGTCTCTACCATACCTTGGGACACATTGTAAAAAAGGCGCCCTTTCTGAGCAGACCCAGTTAGAAAAAGGCAACCTGAATAGACTCAGCCACATGGCGCAGCAAGGAGCCCCGGCTGGATTTCAGCCCACATTCACCCTCTCGGCTGGGCATCTGTGTACAGCACACAAAGAGTAAAACCATCCCCAGGGGCTTTGGGACTTATTTGGTCTGGAGGATGTATCTAACAGTTCAGCCCACTGTTCACCGTGGAAAATGGATGCAGGAAACTGGAGAAGGCTGGGGGCTTGGTCAGGGAGGGAAGGTCTAATCATGACTGAAAGGTTGCATAGTTAAGCCCCTTTCCAGTGGATTCCGTTTAACCTCTTTTCTCATCTGTGAAAAGGATTACTGTGAATCCTACCTATCTCCTCAAGACATTATGTGAGGATTAAAGGGGACCATGTATGTGAAGTCTCTGAGGCATCCCTGTACCCCCAGTTTCTGGCACCAGCCTTGGCACACAGAAAGTACCACTCAATGGTAAAGGAACAGTTAAGATAAATGGAAGTGGTGTGTGATGACAAACTGTGAAGTCTGTATACTTGTTATGCATCATGGCTAGTGAGAGAATCCAGATAATTAAAGGCTCAGGGAGGCAAGTAGCAACGTTGGGGGTTGGGAGGGTAAGGGACAGAAGATGAAGTCAGAGGTCTCTGCTGTGGCACGGGGGTCTTAGGACGTGGTCACTTCGGGGTAGGGCCGATGGGAGGTGAACTTGGTAGTTAGGACCAAGGAGGGGCAGAGGTGCCTTTAGTGAGAAACTGACAAGGGGCTCATGGTACTGTTCAGGAAGAGTGAGGACAGAAGGATGTCATCTAGAGAGAAAGGGGTGGGTGTTTTGAAGGGCTGGTGATAGTAGTGGTGATTTGGAAAAAGTGGAGAGGTATTATACAGGATGCTGTGCAACTGCAGTGGCAACAGACAGAGAGACAATGCCAGGCCTGGCGTCCCGAAGCCTACTCTCTCCCCTGGCGTGCTCAGTAAGCCTGGAGGAAGGCCGAATGGGCGAACCGGGGGTTTCTTGAGGGAACACTGTAGGTGATATGTTCTAGGGACAATCCAGATTTCACTCAGGACAGAGGATGTGCTCTAGGCTGGTTTGTCCGTGTAGGTCTCTGAGAGAGTCTGATGGCTTGGTGGATCAGTTGATGAAGAAAATCCTTGCTTTGGCCCAGCTGGGTCAGGCTCAGTACAGTGACCAGGGAACTTAGGCAGCTCCTAGGGAGGTGCTTCTAGCCACTTAGGTTCCAACTAAAGAAAAAAGCTTCTTCATGAGTGACAAAGCACTCCACATCTGAATGACCCAGGGCAGTAGCCAAGTGAACCAGAGCATGGCAGAGCTAGAATCCAGATAAGACAGACTTACTCAACTCTGAAAAACAAACTGAGGGTTCTAGAGGGGGTGGGGTGGGGGGATGGGTTAGCCTGGTGATGGGTATTAAAGAGGGCATGTTCTGTGTGGAGCACTGGGTGTTATGCACAAACAATGAATCATGGAACACTACATCAAGAACTAATGATGTAATATATAGTGATTAACATAACAATAAAAAATTTTTTAAAAAAGACAGACTTACTCAAGACCACCACTTTGCATTTCATGAGGATCTTTTACTCATAGCATCTCATTTGCTCCTCCAAACGACTCCCTGTGGTAGATGAAGTTGTCTGCATATTGCAGATGACAAAAATGGGGGCATAGAAGTTACTAGAAGAAGCTGGAGCTATTTACCCAAGGGATATGAATTGATTTTTGCAAGTAGTTGCCTCTTTCATTGTCTGTGGCCATCAGTTGAAGGCAGCCCAGGCTGACTTTGTGAGCCTACCTTATACGTTGCCAGCTATTCTGGCCTTTAAATGATGTTTCTCGTCTGTGCTGGAGGCCGGGTCTCCATTGCAGGCTAACCTGAAGTTCCTGCAGGGGAATTTGTCTCCCCCTCCCCAGGACCTGGAGACTCCGAGGGCTGTAGGCAGGCCCTGACCACAGTGCGTGTGTGTGTGCGCGCGTGTCACGTGGCATGTGTATGTCTGGGAGGGCCATAGAATCTGTCTCTGTTCTGTGGGCACACCAAGCACACATATATGTATTTGTGTCTCTGTGTGTACCTCTGTGTGTTCAGTGGAAGAATTGAAAAACGAGAGTTTCTTATTTCTTTGTGATCTCGCTCCTTTCTTTCTTCCTCCTTCTACATTTTCTCTTTCTTTTCCGTGAGCTTAGGTGGCACTGTGATGAAGTCCTCTGGCTCAGAGCTTGTTACTCAGCTTTGTCAGAGAACAGGGTCCCTCTGTGGCTGAGACTTTGTAACCTCACTTACATACTCTGCAGTCCAGAGTACTTTTGCTGGTTGGCCTGGGGATGAGGGCGGATGGAATTTGGCGTAGCCCTGCCGGAGAACGAGGCTCGCCTGAGGTCTGAGCCCCTGTGTCTGGTGCCATCATGGCTGGGAGGGCCCGGAGGGCGGCACGCAATCATAGACAAGGGTTTGTTTTGCAGGTAAAGTAGAGTTGAGTTGGGGGAAACTGAGAAGAATAGCCTGTCGGGAGCAGCCCAGGGGTCAGTCTGTCTGTCTCCTGTCCACAGCATCAGGGGAGAAGAAGGAAGGCTGGTCATGGGAGTCCTACCTCGAGGAGCAGAAGGCTGTGACTGCCCCTGTCAGCCTCTTCCAGGACGTGAGTCAGATAATTTCTACCTGGGAAGAGCTTGTATGCCCAGTCCAGGAACTCACCACCAAACTCAGGCCTTCTGGTGTATTGTGTGTCTGATAGCCCTCAAAACACTGGCAGAATGGAAGGGGGAGAGGCTGGTTAGGGTCCCAGAGTAGGAAAGGGCTCACCTTGAGAGGCTTTCAGGGTAGGAGGAAGTAGAGAGGTGGGACCCAGGCTCACCCATCACGGCACCTGTGGACTTTTGAATCCCGGTACCTTCTCCTCAGTTCTGTACGCTGATCTTCCCATGGCCTGGATAAGGGGGAGCCCTTAAGTCCAGCCCTGACTTAGCCCACATTTTTCAGAGGACCTGGGAGCTAGTCTGTCCTGCTCTGAATCCCTGCACTGAAGATCCCCAAATAAGTTACCCTTTTGGTAATACGAGGCGGGTGGGGCCTAAAGGCAGCTCCTTCACCCCAAGCCCACTAGGCAAGGATAAGACTGGATGGAGGCTGGGTCCTCCCCAATCTGTGCGTTGACAGTACCAGGCAGTCACTCATAATAAGAATGGCTTCAGACCGGGCATGAAGTTGGAAGGCATCGACCCTCAACACCCGTCCATGTACTTCATCCTCACCGTGGCCGAGGTGAGCTGAGGCTTGCACCCACATTCTGGCGATGTCTCTTTCGGTAGACTGACGGGGACTGCTGGGGGCATGGAGGGCCTGGTTTAGATGAGGGAGACGCTGCCCTGCCCTCAGAAAGCGCACAGTCTGTAGGGGCTTATGGTGGAACACACAGAAAGCTAAAAAATGGAACAAACACCAAAGTGCTGGGTGTGGTGACATTACTGAATGGTGTATCCCTCAGTGCTGGGGGAGCCCGAGGAGGAGAGATCCTGAGGGCAGGGATGTTGGTGTGCGTCCAACCAAGGTCTTGTCCTCTAGGAGCTCACAGCATGGGAATCAGTGAGATGAACACATCAGCGACATGCCACGGAGGGGGGCAGGGGGTGGCCAACAGGTGTTGAGGAGGGCAGCACCGAGGGGGCAGAAGGAGCTTCACAGATAGTCCTCCTGCCGAGCCTTGAGGGATAAGTTGTGAACAAGTCGGGTGTTCCAGGCAGAAGAAGCAAAACGAGCAAAAGTACTGGGGCATGGAACAGGGTGCCAAGTTCTGAGAGCTGCCATCAGCTTGGTGAAGTCAGAGCAGTGTGTGAGTGGAAAGCAGTGAGAGACGGTGGCAGAAGGGAAGGCCATCAGGGGCCCTGAACAAGCCTGAGCCTTGGTAGGTGCCCTTGGGGTTCTGTCCAGGGCTCAAAAGGGCAGGAAGATGTCATAGATTCCACCTGTCTCACACCCAGAACTCAGGGCTCGCGAGTACACGCTCTGTCCTCAACGAGGGATGGGAGAGCACGGGGCCAGGTTCAGGATGGGGGGAAGAGTGGTGGGCTGGGGATCCTGCTAGCATTCGAGACCCTCGAAACCACCAGGCTGGGCCAGGAGAGGTGAGGGAGAGGGAGGGGGTGCCTGCTGGCGCCCGAGTCCCTGTGATTCTCCGTCACGGGGCTAGGTGTGTGGCTACCGCCTACGTCTGCACTTTGATGGGTATTCCGAGTGCCATGACTTCTGGATCAATGCCAACTCCCCTGACATTCACCCCGCTGGCTGGTTTGAGAAGACTGGGCACAAGCTGCAGCCCCCCAAAGGTAAGGCCTAGCTGGATTACTCACAGCGACCTTCCCTTCTTCCCCGGGGGTCCCCCTTCCTTATTCCCTGTTCCACCGCTAGCCTCTCTTCATCGAATCCTGCTGTGACTAGGCCCCAGGGCTTCTGCTTTGCCCTTTCGCTTTGGGTTTCTACCCAGGTCATGTCCCACCTCAGCAGGGTTTCCTTGGGCAGGCGCTTGAGGGTTGGGAGGTCCTTGGGCCTTCCCGATTCTGGGGCTTCAGTGTGGGGCGCCCTTGCTGCGGCCCAGCCCCTGTCTGCACGGCACTCTCTTCTTCCCCCCTGAGGGGCCCAGGTTACAAGGAGGAGGAGTTCAGCTGGAGCCAGTACCTGCGCAGCACCCGAGCTCAGGCCGCCCCCAAGCACCTGTTTGCGAGCCAGAGCCACGTGAGTGTCCCTGAGCGAGAGTGGACCCCCACCCTCTGGGACAGAATCCCTGTGGCCAGCCAGGCTGTCCTGACTCATCAGGAGAGAGCGCACCTACCAGGGCCCTCAGCTTTGTTCTGGCCTCTCCCACTGAAAGGCTGGGCAGAGGGCCAGAGGGGGAGCTGCTTCTAGGTTCCGCCCAGTTTCCCCCTCCGCCCTACTGCACAAACCCTCTCCTCTGAGCACCCGCTGCGAGTCCCTGGCCCACCAGCTCAGCCCGGGCACTGGGATATCCCTATTCTCATTTCTTGCTCTGGTTTGCTCTGCAAATCTTGATTGAAGGTCCAAGCCTCTGTTCTGGGAGCTGCTTTTTCCTTCCCTTTGACCAACACTGCAGCTCTCCCACTTAGTCCCAACACTCATTCCTTGTCCCCTTCTCTGTTCAAGGCAGCTGACAGCTTTATCCAGCAGTTAAAGTAGCTCCTGATCCCCAGCCACAGGTTTGAGAGACTGAGGGAACCCCCATTAAAGTTGTCACCATATCAAAAGTGCAGGATCCCCATGGGTCGGAGTGTCCCCGTGCCGCACAGACAGGGACACTTCCTCCCCCACCGCAGTCTGACCCCAGGTTCCCAGGTGATTGGGGGCGTTCTACCCACTATTAGGACAGGGAATGCAGTCTTGTAAGTCAAGCTGTTTAATTCCTGGCCCCACCATTGACTGGCACTGCGGTCCTGGGCATGTTATTTAACTTACAAAATGGGGATGATCGTACCCATCTCCATAGGGTTGTAGTAAAGGTCAGGGGGGAGATGACAGCTTTTAAAGCTAATGCCTGACAGATGCCCTTCCTCCCCTCTCCCCAACACCCCACTGCTGCCCCAGCTGCCTCAGTGCAGGCTAGGCCAGGCTCATCTGGGGAGGAGAGGCTTGTGCTCACCCTGGCCGACTCCTTGGGGTGAATGGGTAGCTTCCTGCCTGTGAGGCTGCCTGTAAGCATACCTTGGAGACTGGAAGCTCCCGAGTGGCTCAGGGCTGGGGGTTAAGATTCTGCCCTGGAGGGACCCTCTTTCTCAGCTGATTTCTCCCCTACCCCGCCCCGCCCCACCCCAGGCGTGACTCCTAGAGAACCTACTCCTTCCTGTGCCAGGGGGTTCTGGGTTCGTGCTAGCCAGCCTGGGCCTGGCCATGGCAGCCCCTCTTCTTGCCCCCAGAGCCCCCCACCCCTGGGCTTCCAGGTGGGCATGAAGCTGGAGGCGGTGGATCGCATGAACCCGTCCCTCGTCTGTGTGGCCAGCGTGACCGACGTGGTGGACAGCCGCTTCCTAGTGCACTTTGACAACTGGGACGATACTTACGACTACTGGTAGTGGGAGGGCCCAGACTTGGCCTGGGGGTGGCGGGGTGGCCGGGGCCGGAGGCAGTACTTTCAGACCTCAGGCGCCACGTGGCCCCTGCCTGGGCCTGACATTGATTTTGGCTCTGGGGTATCACTGGCTTTGATCTGCATCCTAAGAAACACAATGTAATATTAGTTGTTTCATCTAAAAATACCAAGGTTAGGTTGAGCAAGCCGCTGTGTTTCATGATTTTCCCTTCGACATTACGGGAGTCCTAGCGTTTGTAGTTAATGCTGCAGCGTTCAGACTTTTTTATCAGCCATCGGTGTAGCTGTCCCTAAGCAGCAGAGTGAGGGAGGGCACTAAAGCCGTGCTGCCATCATCCTCAGAGTGTCACTCGGGACAGTGAAGTATTCTTGGTTTCAGGTGTGACCCCAGCAGTCCCTACATCCACCCGGTGGGCTGGTGCCAGAAGCAAGGAAAGCCCCTCACTCCTCCACAAGGTGACCCTGCAGCCTGAGAAAATGCCCTTTCCTGGGCCTGGCCCCACAGCCCTCTCCTCCGATCCCTTAGCAGTGCCTCCTTAGCTGGGTCTTTAGGATCTCAGTGAGGGGATGGAAGTGTCCTGGAGCCTCATCTTCTTTGCTTGGGAGTTGAGAAGTCTTTGATGTTAGGAGAGACCTGTTAGCCCCCTGCTCTGCTGAGGTTTAAGGAAGAAAGTTAAATGACCCCCTCAGCACAGGAGCGGGGTTCCAAAGCAAAGAAAGTTTCCAGTGGGGCTGGGGCTGGGGCTGGAGCAGCAGGGCCAAGGAGGGGGAATGGGAGCCAGGCTTCCCAGACAGCCCTGTGAACTGTGGGGTGGTGATGTGCTTGGTTCTGGCCAGCACCCCTCTGCCTCAGGAGCCTCTGCCGGGAGCTGGCTCTGGTGGTGGGGGGTGGGGTGCTGTACCCCTTCCATGCTCCTGGTCCCGAGACATTGTTCTCATCCTCTCCTCCAGACTATCCAGACCCTGATGGCTTCTGTTGGGAGAAATATCTGGAAGAAACCGGGGCCTCTGCTGTGCCCACCTGGGCCTTCAAGGTGGTGAGTCAGCTCTCTCTGCTCCCAGAGTTGACCTCTGGGAAGGCATGGAGCACTCGGCCAGCCAAATGGAGTGCTCCCCACTTTGGCAGGCCATAATTTCCAAGGCACGGCACTTGGGCTCCCCCTCCTTAGGGCCTCAGCTCCGCTGAGCTGGGCCTTGGCCTGAAAGCTGCTGTCCCCTGCAGCGGCCCCCACACAGCTTCCTGGTCAACATGAAACTGGAAGCCGTGGACCGCAGGAACCCAGCCCTGGTGCGCGTAGCCAGCGTGGAAGATGTGGAGGACCATCGGATAAAGGTGGCCCCGGGCACCTCGGGCTAAGGGAGTGGACAGGCTGTTTGGGCAGGAATTCTGTACACTGGCCAGAGGTCAAGGGCATGGCATGAGCCAGACATAAGGGAGGCTGCAGGTTTAGGAAGAGAGCTCTACACTCGAGGTTGAAGAACTTGGTCTTGCTCTAGCCTCATCTGTGACTTATCTTTGTGGGCTGGGACCAGTCATTTCCCCTCTCTGAGCCTATCAAGTGGGCCTGATGACCCTTGTCCTGTGCCTGGATTAATGGAAGATGCCAGTAACTTAAATGAGTGAGGCCCTTGGAAAATGTGGTGGCGGAGGTGGGTTATTGTGAGGTTGGCCCCTTGGTTCTTCCATCCAGGATGTCGCTTCTGACGGGCCCCGGGGACAGGGAGAGCCACCAGGAGCCTGGAGGACCTCCTGGCTGAGCTGGGTTCCACGAGGAACACCTGACCTCCAACGGCCTTTTCTCCCCAGCTCCACTTTGATGGCTGGAGTCATGCCTATGACTTCTGGATTGACGCCGACCACCCGGACATCCACCCCGCGGGCTGGTGCTCCAAGACAGGGCATCCCCTGCAGCCTCCTCTCCGTGTGTACCCTTAGGACACTCTGACCCTTTCCTACTGATGTCCAACCCAACCCCGTGAGCTCTGACAGTCCCTCTCCTATAGCTTGCCCAAGGGATTCTGACCGACATGCACAGCTGGGCTCTAGTGCCCACAGTGAGCTGTGGGATTCCCCCATCCTCCCTGCCTCAGTGGTCTCTGCTACACTGAGCCACGCTTCTGGCTTCCCCAGCTATTGGGTTTAGGGTACTGAGCTGTCCAGGGGCAAGCTCACTTGGGATCATGAGCCTCGGAGAGAGTTATGCACCCGGGGAGTTCCCTCAGCATCCAGCAGAGCCTCACAGAGCAGACATTATGTTTGCTAAGGAAACCAGGTTACCTTAACTACAATCCTGGTCCCTGTAGGTGGGGTGGGAGGTCAGGTCATCAGACCTCCCAGCTCCAAGACACATGGGGTATTGATCCTTCTCGATTATTCTCCAAGCATGAGTAGGGCCTAAAGCAAGTTACCAGAGCCTTGAGAATGAAACAGGGAAGCAGACAGGGTAACATAATTGTGCCTGGTGTGGCTTCTCAGCTGCCTCGCCCACTCCAGCTCTGAGTTGATCTTTTCCCCTAGGGTTCTCCTCTCAGAGACAGGGCACCTGGGGTTTCAGCATGAAATGAGAGCCAAGCCCCCATACCCCAAAGAGGGGCAGATCCTCAGTAGCAGGAAATGATGTCACGGTCTAGGTTAGGCCCCCGCAGCTGGGGAGCTAGCTCCTAGTGCTGAGCTTCCCCATAGAAACTGTTCCTGCCCTCCCTGCCCTCCATCCCCCCATCCCACCCCCAACCCAGGACCCTATGCTAACTCTTCTTCCTGCTCCCCCAGGACCCAGAGAGCCCAGCTCTGCCTCCCCTGGGGGCTGTCCCCCTCTCAGCTGTCGGAGCCTGCCACACACTAGGACCTCCAAGTACAGCTTCCACCACCGGTGAGTGAGGGGCTCCTGCTAAGAGACCCTCAGGCATTGTTCAGGGAGGGGCTCTCCTACACCTCCAGTGCACGGCCCATCACGGCTCCCCAAAACACTCTCCGAATGGGGCCAGCGCTGGGAAGGGCTCAGTGGGAACAAGTGGGGATTCAGCCCAACTTAAGCCTTCTTCTTCTTCCTCTTGCCCAGGAAGTGCCCCACTCCTGGTTGTGATGGTTCCGGCCACGTCACAGGCAAGTTTACAGCTCACCACTGCCTCTCGGGCTGCCCCCTGGCTGAGAGGAACCAGAGTCGGCTGAAGGCGGAGTTCTCCGACACAGAGGCCTCGGCCCGTAAGAGGAACCTCACGGGCTTCTCCCTAAGGAAGAAGCCTCGCCATCACGGCCGGTGCGGAGGGCAAGGGTGCAGGAACTCGTGTCCTCTGGGGCCAGGCCAGGCACTGATTCCCTGCCACGGACCCGGTCCCTCTCTCTCCAGGATTGGCCGTCCTCCAAAGTACCGGAAGATCCCGCAAGAAGATTTCTCGAGTAAGTCCTGACTCCTCTACCGCATGCCCTGCACAAAATGTTCACAGTGAGTGTGTGGTAACTGGGGGGAGAAGTCACGAGGGGGACCCGGAGGGGGCAGCGGGTGGGGTGGCCGCCTCTTGCTTTCACGTCCTTGCAGTGGTGAGAGCACAGGAGTCCCCGCGGGTTCCAGTCCCACCTCACCCAAGACCTTGTTGTGAGTCTGCAGGAGACACAGAGCCTCTCTCTGGGCCTTGGGTTCCCCACTGTGTGGCCGGAGGATGCCCCCTAGCCCTGCTCCTCTAGCCTCTAGGCCTCCTGGGAGGGAGGCCTGGCTCTCACTGTCTAGCTGTGTGACCTTAAGCAAGTCACTTCATATTTCCGAGTCTCAGTCTCATTTGAGGACATGAATAATACTTCTTTCAGGCATCGAGTACCTGAAATAATAGTACTTAGGAATAGTACTTAGCAATAACATACTGAGCACCTACTGAGGGCCGAGCACTGTCACAGGTGCCTTACGGACATGGTCGCTGACCCTCACAGGCATCCTGGAACGTGGACACCATTCTCTTTTGCTGAGAGAAGAGGAATGGGAGGCTCAGAGGTGAAGTCACTCGCCTTGTAAGGGGCAGAGCTGGGACTCAGACTCGGGTCTGACATCTGCTCTGTGTGCTGGTGTAGCAGGCTGAACGCACCTAGTCCAAATGTCAGCTCACCCCTCCATCTCCTTTGTCTTAGCTTGGGTGCCACAACCAAGTACCACAGACTCCGTGGCTAACCCACAGAGAAGTTTATTTTCTCACACGTACAGAGGCCAAAAGTCCAAGATCAAGGTATCCGCAGGGTTGGTTTCTTCTGAGACCTCACACCTGGCTCACAGGTGGCCGCTTTCTCGCCGTGTCCTCCCGTGGTCTGCCCGCTGTGCCTGTGTGCTCCCGGTGTCTCTCTGCGCATGTCCAAAATTGCTTTTCTTGTCAGGACACCAGACTGGATGAGAGCCCACCCTAACGGCCTCATTTGAACTTAATCACCTGTTGAAAGACCCGTCTCCCAACACAGCTGACCCTTGAACAACAGGGGTTTGAACTGCGTGTCTCCACTTATGTGCGGATTTTTTATAGCACAGTACTATAAATGTGTTTTCTTTATGATTTTCTTAATAACATTTTCTTTTCTAGCTTCCTTTATTGTAGGAATACGGTATATAACCCATATAACATACAAAATCTATGTTAATTGACTGTTTATATTGGTAAGGCTCCCAATCAACAGTGGGGTATTAGCAGTGAAGTTTTTGGGGAAGTCAAAGTTATACATGGACTTTGACTGCATGGGGTGTTGGTGCCCCTCACCCCCACATTGGTCAAGGATTAAATGTATAGTCCCCTTCAGAGGTACTGGGGGTAAGGCTTCAACATATGAATTTGGGGGGAATACAGTGAAGCCCATAGCATGCTCCAAAGGGAGGGACAAGGTGACTGAGCCTTCCTTTGGGTGACAGATTCACCTCATGTCTTCAGCCACCGGCACAGGGCCTGATAGATAGCAGGAGCGCTAGGGCTCTTGCCTTAGTTGAGTTGAATGCCCATGGTCTTAAGGCTAGAAGAGACCATGGGAGATCACCTGGTTCAGTGCTCAGTTTGTGGACAGGACTTAAGCTCTTCCAGTTCTTCAGGAACAGTCTCTGCAACCTGGACTATATGGCATGGTCGTTAAAAGCACAGTGCTGGAGTCAGACGGCCTTTTACGGGCTGGGAGACCTCGAGCAGGTGACCCCCCTCTGAGCCTCAGCTTGCTCATCTGTGCAATGCTGATGATATGCCCACCTCAGAAGGTAGTAGGGGGCTTAAATAAAAAGGTCAAGTAAAGGGCTTAGCACCAGTACCTACTGGTATTATTAGCCCTGTGTGTGTGGCTGACCTCCTCGAGCTGCCGTTCCATACTCCTCTTGGTGGAAGCAGAAGGCACTTCCTGAGGCTTCAGGCTTGAGTGAGGAGGGGCTTGGCCAGCCTCCCTGCCCTCAGAGTGAGGACTTCTGGGGACGGGACTATAGTGGGCATCTTCTCTACCTGACTGTGGGACACCTGGCCAGCTTCCCGTCCAGGGCCAGGTTCTGACCACCAGGAGGCGCATGCCTGTGTGTTCATTCCAGAAGCATCCTGAGAACTTGGGAAGTTGTCTTTCCAGAGACTGAGGCTATGGCGGGAGAGGGTGAGGAAGGGCTTACCCAATAATAATAATAATAATGCTATAGGTTGAATGTTTGTGTCCCCCCCACAAATTCATATGTGAAACCAAATGGTATTAGGAGGTGGGGCTTTGGGGAGGTGGTTAGGTCATAGGGTGGAGCCCTCACAAATGGGATCAGTGCCCTTATAAAAGAGACCCCCAAGAGCTCCCTTGCTCCTTCCACCATATGAGACCCAGCAAGGGAAGTTGGCTGTTAGCCAGGAAGTGGGCCTTCACCATATACCAAATCTGCTGCTGCCTTGATCTTGGATTTCCCAGCCTCCGTGACCGTGAGGAATACATTTCTGTTGTTTGTAAGGCCAAAGAAACCAAAAACCCAGCAGCTTCTGACTTGTCCCTAGTTGGCTCACAGTTCGATAAGACACCTGCTGCCCGCGAGAGCCCCCATCCCGTGCTCTGGGGAAGAAAGAGAAGGAGCAGGGCTCCCTACAGCCTCTTGGCCTTGTCCCCCAAGACCCCTCCGCTGGTACGTGGAGAACCAGAAACGGCCTCAGAGGCAGGAGGCCAAACCTCCTCTGGCCAGGAGATGGCCAGGAGATGGCCAGGAGACGAAGCGCTGGGCGGAGGCTGCCCAGGGAGAGGCTCCTGGTGCCGCCGGCGGGCACCGAGAGCTGGCTGGGCGGCGCCCGGGAGCGGCTCCCTCGTGGGGCTGGAGGCTGGCTCCTGGGGTCCGATGAGCAGGGATGGCAGCAGGCAGGAGGAGCTACAGAGGGCGGCGCGGGGAGATCCTAATAGGATCCTGGAGGCTCAGCGGGTGGTTGCGAGGGGCAGGGTCGGGGCGAAAGGCCAAAGCTAAGGGGACCAAAGGGTCAGGGCAGGGACTGTCTGTGACGAGAAGGGGGCGGTGGCGAGGGGCAGCCTCGGGTCCAGAACTGACGCCCAGTGAACAGCAAAGAGGCAGCTCTCTTGGGCTGTGGGCAGAGAGAGGCAGGGCAGGCCCCGTGGGGCAGAGGCCACATGGCTCAGGGCCTGCTGAGGCTGGCAAGGTAGGCAGGGGCCAGGCTCGTCAGAGAGGCCAAAGGGAGTTGAAGTCCAGGCAGGTGAGCGCCGGGCCTGGCCAAGGAGGAGGCCCCGCAGAGCAGCATCACTCCTGAGACCCCCTAGCAGCAGCCGAGGCTGGAGGCTGGGAGGCAGGCCCCAGGCAGAGCGGCGGGCAGCGTAGGCAGGGGGTGGAGCGGAGCAGGCTGGGGTGGGGTAGGGGAGAGGAGCGGAGCCAGACACAGTGGCCACAGCTTACGGGGGCGGGGGGTTCCCACACGGAGACCCCCTGACTCTGCTTCAGTTGGTCAGGGCCTCAAAGGCCTCAGGAAAAGGAGGGCAAACCGAACGGGCTTCTGCTGCCCAGGCTGAGAGTCTTGGCTGTTAGAGGCCATTCTGGTGTGGAGCATCTGGAGAACTGTTGGGAATGCCTCAGCATCTTGTGGGGCCCAGGGTGATACAGCCTCAGAGAGATGGGGCCGGGTCCTTCCTCACGGCTGACTCCCGAGAGTCCGTAAAGCGAGAGACTCACTTAACCAGGGGGAGCGAGCAGTGCATGAGGGGTCCCGTCGCCCTCCCTCTTGGCTCTGCGAGACTCTCACTCAGAAGGGGGCCGTTGTCCTCCCGAGGGGCATGGGTACGAGCGGGCCTCGGGGAGCAGCTGAGTCCTCAGCATCGGCCTGCAGCCTCGGCCTCTGCCTCTAGCGCTAGCCGCCGACGCCATGCACCAGTCCCTCTTCATGTCGGCCCTGTCGGCCCACCCGGACCGCTCGCTGTCCATGTGCTGGGAGCAGCACTGCAAGCTCCTGCCGGGAGTGGCGGGCATCTCGGCCTCGACGGTTGCCAAGTGGACCATTGACGAGGTGAGAGCGAGGACCCGTCCCCGTTCCTGTCCCCTACTTTGCCCTCTCACCACAGCCTGGCAGGAGGGCTCAGCAAAGGCCCTGGTGAGGCAGAGGCGGACGCTGCTCCTCACAGCATCTGCTGCCCCTCCAGCCTGTCCGCCGTCCCTCTTGGTGCCCGGCAGGGGCTGCGAGATGGTTCTGTAGGCCTCCCCTGGTGGGTGGGGGAGGGACGTGCTGCTAGTTCCCATGCAAGTCTGGCGGGAGAGACGCTTCACCTGGGCCCCACCTTGCTCACCCGGCGGCAGAGACGCAAGGGTCCTCTTAGGCTAATAAGAAAAAGCGACGCTGTCCAAGCCCAGAGAGCACCAAGTGCACGTGGGCCCGCCTCCCCCTGCACTCCCAAGCCCCCGTCCCCTTGGCAACACGTGCTTCTCTGGTTTCCAAGGTCTTCAGCTTCGTTCACACCCTGACCGGCTGTGAGGACCAGGCACGACTCTTCAAAGATGAGGTGAGGTGCAAGTGCAGAGTGGGGACAGAAGGGTCAGCCACTGAGGCGACCAGGGAGCGGATGCCCTCGCCAGCGCTGCCCCCTGCTAGGGAGGGCCCTCTGTTGTCCTGCCTGTGGGAGACTGGTCACAGTGACCCACGTCTCTGGGAAAAACCCGGTATGGACTGTGGCCCAGCTTGCAAACCCTGTGTTCAGATCACGGCAGGAAGGAAAATGCCTCTTGGAGACAGGGCTCCATTCACTCCTCTGCTCTGCACCCAGCCTGTCTTCCAGACCTAGCTCACTAGGGACAGTGAGTTAAAGTGGGTCTTGAATGGCATATGTCTGCCTTTTACTGCAAGGATCCTAACATATACTTAATTCCAAGACCCAAAAGCTTACTGAGGATAAGAAGCAGTGAGTTGTACATAAAAGAACCCTAGCTTCACAGACAGTGTGGGTGTGAATCCCAGTTCTGCCAGTTTGAGCTCTTTACTGTGTCTGAGTCGGCATCTTCTTATCTATAAAATGAGATAAAAAGGGATAATGAGGGCTAAGTTGATGACAACCTTGCAGGGCCGTCGTGAGCGTTGGAAATGATGAATGGATCATTGTACCAGAATGTCTAGTATAATTATATCACTAGCCTGCTATAGAATAATACACAAATCCTATCACTCTATAAGAATGCCTGGTACAGTGGGGGCTCAGTGGTGGTTCTGGCCCTTAATAGTCATCCTTAAGTAAAGAACTTTGTCGTGACTCTCCCAATTTACACAGTTTGAAACTGGAAGGGACCTTGGAGTTTGTTTAGATCTGCCTTCCAAAGAATACACACATCCATCCCCCATCACCCAGGAAATCATAGTCTCAACTCCCGGTAGAGGCCCCCTACAGGTCAGGCGCCCATAATAAAGAAGTCTGCTCCTCTCCCCTGAGAAGAATCTCTTTATCCAGACCCAACACAGCCAGTTCTTCATAGTATCCTTGCGTGGCGGAGGATAACTCCACCCGCTCTGGGTGCTTGCCTCCTAGGCTGGTGATCGTACTGTAACGTATGTGTTCAGAGCCGTATACCGGTTTCAGATGCCTTCTGACCAGCACAGAACATGCTGGTGGGGTTCTCCAGTACCTGCTTTTTGGTTTTGTTTTTAAAAGGACTTTATTTTTATAGAGCAGTTTTAAATTGACAGCAAAATTGAGAGGAAGGTACAGAGAATCCCCCTCAACCCCCCACCCTGACACAGACACGGCCTCCCCCCCCCTTATCAGCTGCACTCAGCACAGTGGCACTCTTGTTAGAATTGTTGAACCGACACCCAGATGTTTCTTAATGAGGATAAAAATGTACATGGAGCAAAATCCACGCATCCTAAAAGTACAGTTCCACGAGTTTTGTGAGATGTATGTACCCTGAACCCAGTACTTCAACCAAGATATAAAACATTCCCATCAAAGTGGAGGGTTCTTTCTTGGCCCCTTTGTCAGTCCCCGCCCTCATCAGCAGCCACTGTTCAAATTTCTAGCACCGTAAGTTAGTTATACCTGTTCTTGAACTTCACATAAATGGGGGTACAGCTTTTATTCTTGGTGTCTGTCTCTTTTCACTCTGTAATGTTTTTGAGGTTCATCCATGTTATTGTGCATGCCAGTAGTTTGTTCATTTGTATTGCTGAGTAGTGCTCCATTTTATGAATAGCCCACAGTTCTCCTGTTAATGAATATTTGAGTTGTTTTCTCTTCCCCTAGATACAAACCCTATATATATATATATATATATCTTTTTTTTTCATCAAAAATTAAGTTTGCACTAGCTTCATTATAGCCACATCAGACCAGTTTGGAGGTCACGAAAGTCCCCAAGTGCCTTTTATATCAATTATCCATTATAGTCTAACCACATTTTCCAGTTTGTTACTTGTACCACTGGATTTTTTTTTAATTAACCTAATGTAAAACTTTACTTTTATCCCTATTAAATGTTATTTTGTTGGTTTCATAGTCTCATTGTTTTAAATCTTGATTCTGTCATCTCTGATATTAGTAAGCCTTTCCAGTCTCATACAACTTACCATTTGATAACTAAGGCACACCTTCACCACACCTGTTTCACGAGATGGAGCCATGTGGCACCCGTTAGAAGTCTTCCCTCCGTGACAACAGTCATAAACCAGTGCTCCCTGAGTGCAGTCGTCAGCTAGCCACAGAGCCACGCGAGAGTTAGGTGCTCCAGCATCCTCCCCTTGTCAGAAGAAGGGCTCTCTCCCCCCCAGGGCACCTGCTGCGTATCTCAGTTCAGCATGGTCTGGGGTTCAGCATGGACTGGGGTACAAAAGCAGTGGCCAGCAGGGGCACAGGGTGGACTGCCAGCATCAAATGGAGTCTCAGTGGGGAGCAGGACCTCCGTGAGAGCTGAGGATGACCCTTCCCAGGATCTGGTCCATGCTCCAGGGAGTGGCCTTTGTCGGGCTGAAATGATACATTCGGACACACACATCAAGATTCTCTCCAGCTGGGACACAGAACAGTCATTCGAGGGATGTGTCATGAGTGAGACATTAGGGCAAAGCAGATGGATGGTCTCATGGGTAGTCAGTCTGTCCAGTCTGGCAGTTGGCCCTGATGGTGCTCAGGAAAGTGTGCCCAGATTCGGACTAAATCACTCTCCTGTCCTCTCTCCCCCCCGCCCCCCCCCCCCCGGCAAGAATAGCTCATAGGTGACACTGTGTACATCACACCGCATCCCCTGCGCGTGTCCCCGGTGTCTGCCTGTTGACCTGCCAGCAGCGCAGACATTGACCCGGGGCTTTGTGGGGGAAGCACAACAGCAGGTGTTTTGAGGCCGCTGTCTGTGGGGACTCAGAAGACGTTAAGCACATACACACTGACATCAGACCAGGCAGCAGAAAAAAAGAGTGTGTGTGAACATGGGGGAGCCAGCGGAGATCTCTGTCCTTCTCTGTCCCCATCGCTACTTCCTTTTTTCCTTTCTCCCTCCCTCCTTTCTCCTTTTCCTTCCTCTTCCTGTCTCTGTCCTCCCCGCCCCCCATGCATCCTTGACTCCGATTCTCTTTCTCCCCCGCCCGCTCCCCACGCATACCCCACCTCTCCGTCCGTCACTCCTTCCCACGGCCCTCTCCACCTTCTCTGCCTTCCGCCTCCCTCTCCCGACCCCTCAGATGATTGACGGCGAGGCCTTCCTTTTGCTGACACAGGCGGACATTGTGAAGATCATGAGCGTCAAGCTGGGTCCAGCCTTGAAGATCTATAACGCCATTCTCATGTTCAAAAACGCCGATGACACCTTAAAGTGAGTGGCTCAGGGCTGGGCTCACCTCCAGCCCAAGCTGGGCCTCCCTCTGCAGCTGATGCTTCCTTCCCGACTTGAGTTCCTCATACCCCACCCATACCCCCACCACCCTCTATGTCTTACCAGGGGTGGCCCTCCTTCTCTCCGGGGCTGCTTCCTACAAGGTACTTGGGAGCCCTAGCCCCTGAGTCCTGGGGCTCATCTGCCACCAGGCACACCAGTGAGGGTGTGACTGGGCTGGGGGGAACATTACCGGGGGAGTGGATTGGAGGGGCCCTGCCTCTAGCCACCCCACATCTCCAGCTGACTTGTGTGATCACCAAAGGGTCTTTTTCTTAGCGGTTAAGGACAGTCTGGTTGAACAGGAGTCCTCCGGTCAGAGGCTCATTTCTCTTGGACCTCTCTCCATGCTTTTCTTTTCTTGGCTCCGACCAAGAAGTGACCCAGCCACAAACATATGTACTCATTCCGCTGTCGGGTTTCCTGGGCCAGGCCCCCAGCCATGGCCCTCCCAGACCCCACTGGCCCTTCCCCCTTAGATGGGTAAGCTTTGGAAATAGGTTGTCAAAGGATCCACTGGGAGTCTCTGGCTGCTTTTCTCCCTTTCGCCCGGAAGCGGGGGATTCCAAGCCAAGATGCCTTCCTGAGCATGCCCTGTGCTGGACAGCTGGCGTCTTGGTGGCCCACGCCAAGGCCCGCTTCCAGCAGAGTGGGTGGTTAGAGCCTTTTTTACCTGTGCAGAAAAGGTTAAGGCTCCACATCTGTTCCCCATATGCCCTTCCTGTATCAGGTGTGGGGAAGAGGCGGCCCAAGGGTATGTCAGACAATCTCGGGTCTTTGGCCAGAGGGGCAGCTCCAGCAGGCGCAATGGTCCCCGAAGCTGGGCACAGCATCCTCACCTGCAGCCATGGACCTCAGCCAAGGTATTGCCCCCGGGCTGAGGACCCCATGCCTGCCAGGCCTGCTGCCGTGGTCTAGCACACATACCTCACAACATCACATTCGGCCTGTCCCGTAAATGTCTTGCTCTTGAGGAGTCTTACAAAGTCCCCTTGAAGCTGGAAGTTGGGAAGGTGAATTCTTCTGTCTGAATCCTCTGTGTCCGTGAGCTGTGAGCCTTTCTTACCACTCTCCCTTTGCAACTGCCAGCCAGGTGGCCTGCCGGGCCTTTGGGACTTCAACCTTTCTGTCCAGGTGGGGGCCTGGCCTCCCCTGATCCACTGCCAAACCAGCCAGGGTGGGGCAGAGGCAGAGGGCGCGGCAGCAGCTGCCCCCCCCCCCCCACGGGGGTGAGGGACAACCGCCAGGCTCCCTCCCGTGGCCCCGGGTGCTGCAAGGGGCCTGCAGGGCGCAGAGCCAGGCCCATTCCCTCAGTCCTGTGATGTGTGTGCCCATAGGGCACCCTCAGAAGTGCCGGACAGGTGCATCTGTGAGGCTCAGCGCTGGGAAAACGTCAAGGGCTATTACTGTTAAAATATGAAGCTTTAGCTTTCCCACAGAAGTGGGACACCCAAAGCTCTGTTGATGTCCTGCCGCAGCCCAGTACGGGACCCTCTGTCACATGGGCCCGCACAGCTCTGCAGGGCAGCCAGTCAGCCGCCCCGCTGAACTCCCACAGGACTTCGGATGTTCCTGCCCTTGTGGCCCTTAAAGGCAGCTCTGAGCACACCCTTCCTGGGAAGAAAGCGGGCAGGCCCTGCCTCTGGCTGAGGCTCAGCTTTACAGAGGTCGCTTTGGTGTCCCCTTGGCCAAGAGTCAGGAGGAGCCCGTCTGGGCGTCTGTCCTTTGGTTCCCTTGGGTGGTGGCGAAACTCCCCAGCTCCTTGGCCGGGTCTGCTCCTCTTTGAAACTGAGGAGAAACGGGCTTCGTGGTGTGAGGAGAAGGCAGCGAGGCCGCGCGGCTGTGCCGCGGGACCTCCGCGCTCCCGAGGAGCAGGGCTGGGCGGCGGACCTGCCGGCCACCCACGAAGGCCTGCCTGCGGGAAAGGCAGGCTGGACCCACGCAGGGCCTCGCGAGAAGGAGGCCTCAGCACTTTCTGCACCCACGTCAAACTCCTGGGAAAGAAACCGGAAAAAAGGGGGAAAACAGTGTGCCCTCCTGCCCCTTCCCCCCAATCCTGTCCCCAGAGGAGATCTTCACACGCGGACCGCTGACCAGGGTGCAGGTGAAGGGAGGGAGTCGGGGCCAGGGCCCTGCTCTCAGCCGCAGCCGCGCCCAGCCCCCGCCCAGCCCTGGCTGAGGTCAGTGAGGACCTTTCTGTTTAATTTCTGAAGCAGAGAGAATGAGTCCAGAGTTTGAAAATGAAGCCCGTTTGCACTTTCATTCACATGCACTTTGGTGGAATTGTTTTTGTACTTTCCGTGTGTGTGCGCGCGTGCGCGTGCTTTAAGAGAATTCTCTGGTTTAAGATAAAGTGACTCTTGACTCTTGAAGGAGAAAACTTTACAAACTGTGGTGTTTTGTCAGTGTATTGAAACAACATAAATAAACTTTGAACATCTGGATGATATGCAGTCAGGGTCTGTTTCTATTTTCATGATAAAACATCCAGAAAACACAAAATGAGTATCAATAGTGCCACTATTTTTTTTTTAAGATTTTATTTATTTATTTGACAGAGAGAGACAGCGAGAGCAGGAACACAAGCAGGGGGAGTGGGAGAGGGAGAAGCGGGCTTCCCGCCGAGGAAGGAGCCAGATGTGGGGCTCGATCCCAGGACGCTGGGATCATGACCTGAGCCAAAGGCAGACGCTTAACAACTGAACGACCCAGGCACCCCTTAAGAGAATAAAGCATTCTCTTTGTTGTTAGGGGGTCCTTATTCTATTTTAAAGATAAGAAATGAAGGATAAAGATAAATGGGTATACTTGTCTACACTGAGAAATGTAAACAATGGGAACCCCCAGAAAGCAGTATGAATAAGACCTGATCCTTGACAGTTTATAAATGGACAGGGGCAGAAAATTCAATGAAGTCCTCCAGTTTTTATTTTTTATTTTTCTTTTAAAGATTTTATTTATTTGACAGAGAGAGATAGGGAGAGCAGGAACACAAGCAAGGGGTAGTGGGAGAGGGAGAAGCAGGCTCCCTGCTGAGCAGGGAGCCCGATGCGGGGGCTCCATCCCAGGACCCTGGGATCATGACCTGAGCTGAAGGCAGACGCTTAACGACTGAGCCACCCAGGCGCCCCTCCTCCAGTTTTTAAAATAACATCAAACTTTCAGGTAGGAAATGTCAAGCTGAACAGTTAGACTTCGTTAAGTTTCCCAGAGACTGTGAACAAACGGAAAAGTGGCAGAAATGCCCTGTCCAATGACATCAACCCCTTTCTTGCCAATATCCTTCATTTCTTTGCCCTACTGCTTTTCCAGACTACTCAGCTACAGTACCAACCACAGGGCTGTCCAAGCCCATCTTCTCCAACCTTTACCAGGAGGTTATCTGACTAAGCCGATTGGTGCCATTGTTGCCTGATGGTCTCTGGCTTCAGTATGGACTCTCGGGGCTACTCAGGAAGCAGCTGGGTTTTTGTTTTCCTTGGTTTTTTTTAAAGATTTTATTTATTTGACAGAGAGAGAGAGAGCACACAAGCAGGGGGAGGCGCAGACAGAGGGAGAAGCAGTTTCCCCGCAGAAAACCCCATCCTGGGATCATGACCTGAACCAAACGTGGATGCTTAACCGACTGAGCCACCCAGGCGCCCTGCAGCTGGGTTTTGAAGGGGTTACCTCTGATTTCCCTTTTCATGCTCCTCAAACCTCCTGCCCCGTTAACCTTCACTGTTATCTCAATATATGTGTTCATCATCTATATCACAGAGAAAACGGAAGTCATCAGAAGGAATACCCCCACCTTCCTGCCACCTCATCTGTCAGTCTCCTCCCACCCATATCCACCCCTCCTTCTTTCCTACCCATCTCAGTAGAAGAATTGGTCCTTCCACTTGTGGAAGCCATTCCTCTACCAGCCATGGCTGCTATAAAAGGAAAAGAAACATTGAGAGGCAAGACAGGACTTTTGGAAATTTAAAATTGATTGCAGAGGTAATTCAACACACAGGTTGAAAGATAAAGTTGATACTGCCCAGAAAGTAGAAGAAAAAGACAAGGAGACGAAAAATGGGAAAGAATAAAAAAATTAGAGGACTCGTTAGAGGTCCAATACACAACTAACAGAAATGCCAATAAGAGAGAACAGAGAAATTATAAATTTTTTAAAAACTTTTTTGAAAAAGTAAATTTCAGAGTTGAAAGATAGCTAGTCTCTAAAACTAAAAGGTTACACTGAATGCAATGCCCAACACAATGGATGTAAAAGGAATGACGCTAAGCTACATTATTGTGAAATATCAGAATCATGAGAACAAAGAGAAGATTTAAAAGCTTCCAAAGGGAATAAGACAGGTCTCATCGGAAGGAACATGAATCAATAGCATTGAACTCAATGGCAGTGCTGGAAGCGAGAGAGTGGAACGATGTCTTCACAATTCCAAAGTAAAATTATTTCCCCCCTAGAGTTCTGTACCCAGCCAAGTTGTCAGTCAAATGTGAAGGCAGAACGTTTTCAGACATACAAAGTTTCAAACTTTTATCTCCTATGAACCTTTCCTCAGAAAACCATTGGATGATGTGCTCCATCAAAGTGAGAGAATAAGGGACACCTGGGTGGCTCAGTCAGTTAAATGGTTAAGCGTCTGCCTTCAGCTCAGGTCATGATCCTAAGGTCCTGGGATCGAGTCTCACATAGGGCTCCCTGCTCCGTGGGGAGGGAGTCCGCTTCTCCCTCTGCTCCTCCCCCTCTCCTCCTGCCGCCCCGTTCATGCTCACACTCTCTCTCTCGGAAAAATAAAATCTCTTTTAAAAAATGAGAATAAGTCAAAAAAGAGGAAGATTCCAAAAATGCAAGGTAGTTCAAAATAAGAAAGTCAGTCTATATAATACACCACATTACTAGAATGAAAGGGGAAAAAAAATGATCATCTCAATTGATGCAGAAAAGGTATTTATGAAAATCCAACACCGTTTCACAGTAAGAACAGA